ATTCAATTTTCTGTACAATCCAACAACCGACACTATATTCACTTTGAACAATTTTCTAAATACATTACATAAATCTTCACTCTCATTATTTTGAATACTACTTTTGAAGAGTATTTTTTTACGAATAATTATATTTGTTATTGTAAATGGGTTGTATTAAAATATCATAATTCTGGCAAATTACATAAAGACAAATAGTTACATGTGAGTGAGTCAGTAGCTCTGAAACAAGACTTAGTGATAATCATCTTCCCAAAAACAATAAAAAGTATAACCCTTTGATATCAAATCAGACACAAATGAGCCAAAAGTTGTCGAATTAAACATGTCATCACAGACCCTAATCTGCAATGTACTTTTGAAAGATAGAGAAAGCACAAACAAAACAATGTCAAATTCAAAAACAACCGCAATAACAAAAAAGTACAACTAGAATCAAAGGGGCAACCTAGAATAATTAGGAGCTTGAACTTGCAGTTGAAAAGAGAGAAATCACCTCTATCTGGTTTTTCGCTCGCCTAGAGCCATTCCTTCTTCAACTTGATCCTCTTTAAATCACATGAACCACCCTAAGAAGTGATTGTTTCCAGACCTCAGATCTAATGAATCTCCTGCTCCCACAATCATATCAGTGATATCCTTCGTCGAGACTTAGAGATTGATTTCCTCCATGACCCCATCATTGACATGTCTCGTGCTTTCGAGGTTTACCTATATCCAAGCAAATTCTAATTCCCAAATAAGCTTTTTAAATACCTTTAAACAGATTCTCATCATTTTTGACAAGACTTCCTAAATAATTTCCAATTCCCTACACACTACTTCTAGCGTCATAAAATCATATGCCACATTATGAACTTGAATAAAAAATCTGCCATATTTAAAGGAACCCTAAGGGGTATAATCGCGAGTAAAACAAGCAAATTCTTCTCAAAAGGCCACGGACCATTTTTCAAGCACACGATTCATGTCGATTATATGGTGAAAAGTAAAAAGGTGCCTTTAAATCATACATTTCTTTAATCACAACTCCTCTACATAGGCGCCAAATCGTTGCTTCAAAAATCAAACCATCCTCCTCTCCCTCTATCGCCATCTTGTTGTACTATGCCCTGAGATGCTCAATGAGAAGCTCTTTGTCCTGTTCGCTAGCTTGCTGCGTCCATGAATCCTCACAAGGAGGTTGCGCTCCTTAAGCTTGCAAAGATACAAGAAAGCCTAGCATACCCTTTTTTGATTACTGGAACTCTAAAAATAAGAATAATTATAATTTTTTTGCAATAATTATAATTTATAAAGTCAAACATTCCAAAGTAAAAATAAATAAAATTGGAGTTCAAATTTTTTTTCTTGGTATTTTAATCTAGATCTATCTTCTAAAAGAATTACCTGAAAATGTAAAAAAAGAAAATTGTAGCAGTTGGATCTTAATTTTAGCACTTAGCTTTAGCACCTAAGAAAAAAATGGGCCTAAAATCCTGGAGCCGTCGGATCTTAATTTTTTAAATTTATATATGCAATATCAGTGTCATATCAAAGATCATAAAAATATTAATTCTGATATACATCTTTGTAAAAATCGGAGTAACCCGCACGGGTAGCTCAGTTGGTCGAGTGGTGGGAGATTTGGAACAATGGACCAAGGTTCGAATCCCCGCAACGACCGGGTGGAGGTCACAGAACCTGAAATAAGGCTGAGCCTCTGGTGCGCACGGGTGTATGGACCTACTGTCATTCTGCTGACTAAGTCACCGTGACTAACCTCCCCACCATCCTGTCGGGTCGGGGTGGGGAGGCTCTTGGGGTGGGAGATTCCACCTTGTAAAAATCGGAGTACAAATTAAAAAGTTATAATAATTTGGTGCCCACTACAACCTCCCGTCTATTGTGCTCCTTTTCCCTCATCCCCTATAAATTTCTCTTCTTATTCTATTTTATTGGGGTAGTCGAGGCTCCTTTTTCCTATTTCCTCCATGGATTTCTCTTTTTCTTCTTTCTATAGCGGTGAAAGTGTATACTCCCTCCGTTCTTTTTTAGTTGCAACGGTCAACATTTCACATTTACTAACGCACGTCTTTGACCGTAATTATATCTTAATTCTATTAGTAAAAAAATATTAAAAATCAGATTTTTAAAATTTGTAATGAGATGAATTGAACAATATGTTTTTAAAAAATAATTTTCATAAAATAATAGTATAAAATGTAGTCAAAGTAGAGCATGTGAATAGTGAAAAATTCAACATGTTGCGATTAAAACGGAACGGAGGATAGTATATAAGTATGACAATGGATCGCGACGAGTAGCGCAAAATCCATACATGTCATGTAACTTTACTATGTGAACCCACGCCCTTGTGCAGTGACTTGTATGGGTCATAGATGTTGGTTCATGACCCGCCTCATCCTGTCGCAACCTAATTAGCAAGTATGCATTTTTTCGTGAGGTTGCTATCACTTGAATTTACATACAATTTATTTCTAGATAATCATAATAAATATATAATAACTCAAGGTCACAATACAATAAAACGTGTCAAAAAATTAGAAAACATTTTATAGACTTGAGTAGTTAATGGGAAATTACCCAAAATAGGAGCAAATGATACTTGAAATTCCAAAAATAGGACCAGTATATTTTTCTTCCCGAAATAGGAGTTATTACTGTCATGTATGAAAAATACTGCCATGATTGAAAAATACTGTCATTAATTATAATAAATATTGTCATGTTAAATGCACTGTACTACAACTATTTAGCAATCACGGCTACAAGATGACAGTAAATACTGTCATGTTAGTCCCATTTCGGGAATAAAAACAAAGTAGTCCTATTTTGGAATTTCAAACTTCATTTACTACTATTTTGGGAAATCTCCCAATAGTTAATATGTTTGTATTAATAAATGAATATATAATGTCAAAAGCAAAAAGACATTGATAATGTAATGACTCATCTAGTTCAAATACAAGCATTACTCCATATTTTTATTTACTATAATAAAGACATTGACAATGATGTAGTAATATACTTCCTTCGTCCATTAAAACTTTGTCAACTTTCCTTTTTTGGATGTCCCACTAACTTTGACATTTTCCCTTTAATTTCAAGTAAAGAATTTGTGGTTCTAATTAATTCTTTCGGTGGCGGAGCCAGAAATATATGGTTAAGAGGGTCGAGTTTTGAGAATTTTACATTATTGGGGCCAAAATTTAAAATTTTAACATATTTCTCTAGATTCAAAGTATTTATACATAATATATACATGAGATTTTTTTTTGCAGGGGCCAAGGCTCCTTCAGCCCCTCCCCGTCTCCACCCCTGAATTCACTTTCTTGTGCACAAACATCACCACACGGTTTTACTTTAGTAATCCTCGTGTCAGTCAAATTTGGTAAAGTTTTAAGTGACAGAGGTAGTATAATAAATTTAAAGAATTTATAATTTACCATACACACAGTTTTAAAATAATTTTAAAAATATTTGCAAATATATTTATATTATGGGTGGGGCGAAGCGAAAGACTCATCCCAGCAAATGTACGTGGCAGGCGAACTGACCCATTTGAAAGACGAAGGACCCGCTCAAATGTTGGAGTGACTTCTTTGAGGTCAAATGTTTTAGCATGGGTAGTTATATAATCTCAACCCATGACTAGTCAGGTTGTTTTTAGGTTGTTTTACTTGATCGTAATTCATCCCAGACCAAATCAGACCAAAATAGACCAGATCAAACCAGACCAGGTTAAAACAGATCAGATTAGACCAAACCAGACCATATCATACCATACCAGATCAGACCAGACAGAACCATATTTTATTATTATTATTATTATTATTGTTGTTGTTGTTGTTGTTGTTATTAGGGGTGTGCACCGGTTCAAAATCGAACCGGACTGTACCGGATACCATATCGGTTCAAAACCGGACCGGACCGGTTCAAAACCGGGCCGGACCGTACCAGTTCAAAACCGGACTGAACCGCGCCAGACCGCACCGGTTCCGGTTTTTACAGTCTGGTTCGGTCCGGTTTTCCGGTTTAAATCGGATAGTGCACACCCCTAATTATTATTATTATTATTAGTATTATTATTATTATTAGGATGGTTTTACTTGGACTGTAATTTGCTGGTCTGATCTGGTGTGGTCTGGTCTGTTTTGGTCTGGTTTGTTTTGGTCTGTTCTGGTCTGGTCTGGGACGAATTACAGTCCAAGTAAAAACAGCCTTGTTGTTGTTGTTGTTGTTGTTGTTGTTATTATTATTATTATTATTATTACGAAGTATTATTATTATAATTATTATTATTATTGTTATTGTTATTACTATTTGTAATTATAAATGAATGAAATAAAATTATTTATGGATTATAATATATATAAAAAATAAAATCTTTATGCAAAAAATATAAAAAGTAAAATTCCTGACCAGACTTGATCAGACCAGACCAGACCAGACCAAAACAAACCAGACCAGACCAGACCAAAACAGACCAGACCAGCAAATTAGAGTCCAAGTAAAAACATCCTTACTCATCAACTCCCGCCCCTTTCTATACTTTTTTATATAATAGGAAAATGGTCAAATAGCCCCTCGAACTAACTTAAAAAGTGCAAATCACCTCTTATATGGGACGCTCTGTCCGGCTGTCGCCATTTGGGGCGGTTCCCGGTGGCATTTTTTGATGAAAGTGTTTGGGCATCTTCTTCATTAAGTTTAGTTTACTCATACCAAATTTCATCTAAAAATTCAATCGAGAAGGTTGTCAAATTATTTTTTGAAGATAACTGGCTAACTGCGCAGTTAAATAGCGCAGTACATTTCAGAAAATCATTTGATTGTCTTCCGGGTTGAGTTTTTATCTGAAATTTGGTACGAGTAAACTAGACTTAATGAAGAAGATGTTCAAAAAGTTTCATCAAAAAATTTCACTAAGAACCACCCCAAATAACGACCGCCAGTCAGAGTGATTTGAAATTCAAATTTAATCATTTTACCCCAAGATTCCAATTGGTTATATTTTGGTGAGAGTTCCCTGACAAACAACGTTAGTGAATAGTGACCCGTCAGGTATGCAGTCTGAAATGACCCGACCGGAGTTAATCCGGTTTCACCCAGGTGATGGAAGTAGGATGAAGAAGATAGGTGGGAGAAATCAGGTAGCAATCTTGACTGGGTTGGGAATGACTATGACGATTGGTCTAGTTGTGTACTCAAGGCTTTGGACTATCGACTATCGCATCTCGTCCGACGAGACCGAACTAATTAGGTACCAACCACCCTTCCATTGTTCATCACTATATCTTGTTCTGCCATTTTCTGTGATTTTTGGTTAGCAACTTAAAACATTTCAGGCTGCTTCATCTGGAGTGTGTGTGGAATTCGATTTTTGTACCCCTAGTATTTGTTCTCCATTTTCAAAAATGTTTACAATATTCATACGGAGCCACCAATTATCATAGGTATCTGCTGGATTTTGATTTTCTTTAGAAGACTTTTCGGCCATGATCTATCATTGTGGAAAACACCTTGAGTACTGAATTAGTGTTGGTTGGGGGAAAATAGGCATTTGTGTTATCTAATCATGCACTCATGTTATATTGTTATCCATCATATTTAATGTAATCTACTTTTTTACTTGCATAAAAGCAACCGTGTCTAAAAAGCTAAAAAGGAGTTGATCTTTTATCTAGAATTGAATTTTTTGTGAAACATGGAATGGAATTTCTTAATTGGCTCCAGAAATGGATATGGCTGATTAATTTCGTCTCCATTCGAAAATCCCACCCCACTAAAAAAAACTTGTGAAATGATGTTATTGTGTTTGTGGTCTTCTTTAATTCCTTTTAGGAGACAGTTTGATCTTGCTAATAGAGAAGCAATGGATGAATCTGCATACTGGAGAGGTAGATATGATGCAGAGGTGGAGAAGGTCAACAGCTGCCAAAAGGAGCTACTTCAAGTAGGTGCTTGTATTACTGGTCGACAGCTTCAACTATAGTCTATTGTATATAGTATATTGTTATAATGCATAATGGAGTAACAATTGAAAAGGATTTTGCAGAATAAGAAACGAGATTGAAAAGGGGAGTTGGTAACCATTGCCCTATACCTAAGGTGGCATTTAGTTCATTGAATGTAAATTGTCTTAAATAATAGGATTACTTACCTCTTCTTTGAAGGTGATATGTCTAATAATGTGAGATTACGAAATGTAAGATTTTCATAAGCCCACTCCCTCCATAAAAGAGTGATGTTTGGTGAACCTGCATGATAAGAAATTCAGTCAGCATATATTCGTCCAGCTACATGATAATAATAAAAAGCTACCAAGGTAAGGTAAAACTGTTAAATTTATGAAACCGTGAGGGATTGTTACTTATGTTTGCTAGAGACGAAGCTGGAATGATCCAAAACAGCCCCAACATTACCTCATATTCTTGCACGGAAGGGAATTCTGAGTGGAGGCAATCTCTGATTACCTTCACAATGTTCATGTGAAAGCCTGAACCAAACAAGGTTATCTCACGATACCCATATATGATGAGATTACCTAAACGAAGCTTGAACTGTCCCAACTAAAATGAGGTGTACTTAGTTCCTAAGCTTCCTCAAAATATGGATATGGGAAAGGGGATAATCTAGTACACATTTCCTTTGTGTTCAAACTATGGACCTCCTCGACACAACTCGCCTATACCCATTGCCATATGTGTTACGAGGGGAGAAATTCCATTAGCTGCCATAGGTTTGCCCTTGACCTTATATCCAACTAGCACTTCTTTTTATTCCAAGTGTTATGTCTCAAACAATGAAACTATCAACTCACTTATACCCATTGCCATATGTGGTACATAGGTTAAGTGGTCATCTAGTTCAAATGATGATGGCAAGAATAGCAAATTGGATTCACTACAAAAGGTAACTGAATAATATAATGCATTTTGAGATCAATTTCATATTTTTAGTTGATGTATTTGTTTATTAAGACAAGCCCTTTTGGGTCTCCAAACAGCCAAACTTCAAAACTAGGATCTATTCATGATTTTCAACACAATTCCAATTGATTGTTTTGTTTTCCTAATACCAGGAAAACAAGGACTTACGTGAAAAGATTGGATATTTGAAACAAGAGCTTGGATCTGAAAAGTTAAAATGCAGCATGAAAAAACCATGAGTTTACTGTTGAGGGAGAAAACCTTATCTATTGTTAGCTATGCAACAAGAAACAGGTTAAAGGAATAAATAAATAAATAAACAAATAAATAAATAAACAGGACATTGAATTTATACTAGTTTATCGTTTTATATCCTTACTGGGAAGAATATTAAATTGAAAATAGATTTGCCAATTTATTGGGAAGAATAAACCCTTTTGAGTTACCCTCCTTTCTTCTCCAAATCTAGAATGACCTGCTTGAGGACTTTTCTTATTTTGCCCCCCCCCCCCCCCCCCCCCCCCATCATTTTGAGAGGGCTGAGAATGAGCATATTATGTTTGCAGGAGTTTACTTATTTTGCTCCCCGTTGACGCGGACTTAATGTTAGTCCCAATATCAATCAACAATCATACAAACAATATAACGAGTACAGAAGAAACGATGATCCGATTCAATATCAATAAAGATGTCGAAATACAGAATAGGGTATGAACGGCGTTTTTCTCCCTTCTCACTAAAAATGAAATGTGCGTTGAAGCAAGCTTATGTGAGAGTTAGGGTTTGCTTAAGTTATCATCCTTTATACATAAGGATGTCTAACTTAAGGCTTACAAGTGGGCTAATGGGCTGAAATACATTTGTGGTCCATATTACACATTTAATTAATAACTACACAAATACAAAGATATTTAATTAGATTGGACACCATAAAATATTCCCAACAATCTCCCTCTTGGTGTTCAATCGTGTTGTATCAGCATTGCAGCGCAAATATCTTTGTCTTTGTTGTTATTCAACTTCCTTTGTCTTTGAACTTGACTTCTTGAGAAGGCTTTATGAAGAAATCCTTGCAATCTCCCCTTTGATGTCTTCTTGACAATTTGATATTTGATGTCGGGGGTTGAGGAATCTTTTGCTTGTAATCCTTGCCTTCAAGAAGTAGCTCTTGATCAGCTTGAATGAACTCCGGTAGCGCCTCTAGAATGATGGTTCTGATGGTTTCCAGGCATGCACGGGATTCATCTTCAGTACGCGAGTATCTGACCTTTGTCTCCTCCACAATGTAGTCTTTTTGACTATTTGAAATGAATGCTTTTGAGAAGAGGCAGTCGGTTGCACAGCGGAAAATGATGATTGACTTGAGAGCGTAGCTGTCCATTTGATTCGAAGCTGAATTTGTAGTTGATGCTTTGAGAGAATAGAGAGTCGTCGTTTTTTGTGTTGGAGGAGAAGTGTCCAAGAATGATTTTTTAGAGTAAACAGTACAGAGAGTCGTCGTTTTTTTATGCTTTGAGAGAATAGAGAGTCGTCGTTTTTTGATGCTTTGAGAGAATAGAGAGTCGTCGTTTTTTGATGCTTTGAGAGAATAGAGAGTCGTCGTTTTTGTGTTGGAGGGTCGTATAATCTCGAGATTTAAACATCGAGATTTAAAACTCGAGATTTAAACCTCGAGATTGTAATCTCGAGATTTAAACCTCGAGATTAGGATTTCGAGGTATTGCCTTAGAATTTTCCTTAATCCCACCTGTTCTTGATATTCAACATCGAGAACCTCAACTTCGAAGAAATTCCTCAAAAACTCAAAATTAGAGATTTTCTGCGGCACTGCACTGTTTTGGCCATAACTTTTGACTCGGTGATCCGATTTTAGTAAACTTTTTTTGTTGGAAAGCTAACGAAAAGATCTACATTAATTCTAGGGCTAGGCCCCAGAACCCTTTCTCACGCGCCCTCACTCGCAGTCCTTGAGGGTCAAAACGTTAGTTTTCCGACAAACTTTGTAAATCACCGATGTTAAGGTCAAAACTTAAGCAAATTTGTTCAAATTCTTTCAAGGTCAAAGGTGCACATCAACATTGTAGATAATTCAATCAACCTCGCGTCAACGGTCATCTTACAACAATCAACAATCAACTACTGAAGCCTCCCATAACTCATCAACATTGTGTGATCCTCAAACATGCTGAAATTCCAAATGATGAGCTTAGGGAACCGTCATGTGTGGTACCTGTTCATATTGCTCCACACACATGGCGGGTATGACGAGCTGTGAGCAATCAAACCTTGCACATTCTGAGGGGGAGTTTCAGTTTTCTCCTTCTGGCGCCTTACACCGACAAAGCAAGGAATCTCTCAACGGATGCAACATTCTAGGGGGAGTGTTCAATGTTATCCTCCCCGGTGTCTAACAATGACAAAGCATACCGAGTGCTCCAGTTGAGGGGGAGTACAGAGAGAAAATCAATGAGAGAACATGTTCCTATGGCTTAGTAAACTCAATTAAGCCTACCCTAGGGACAAAGCCGAGAGTAAGTGAGTGAGTGAGTGAGTGAGTGAGTGAGTGATCATTATGAGAGTTAGGAAGCAGAAGGCTCAAGTGAGAAGGAAAACAACAATCAATGATGAGTCTGCTACCTCAATTGTCTGCTATGTATTGAACATTTACTCCTAGCCACTCAAATACTCTGGACAATCCCCATAGGTTCGGGACTTATTCAATCAGATCCGAGGTAGAAGTCATTGCATCTTGTCCAACAGTGCATGCTTAACCCTACCCAAGACCACTCACTTGTCTCCCAACAGACAGGTGTTTAATCACATTTCACGGGGAACCTCATCTCTCATTACTGTCTCCTTCTGAGGCAAGTGATACTGACTACAGTGGCCTCAGCCCCATGCCACTGAACTTTCATTGATCACGTCGTGTCTAGTCACTCACTCCCAAATGTTTTGAAATTTTCTAGGACACAGACGCACTTTTTGAGTCAGTTGCAGGTCTTCAAGACCCGCGAGAACTTCCATAGGGTTCATCTATTACAGATGTAGACCAATGATTGGAAGGAAGTCCTGCTGATGCAATATAAGAATCACCATCATTTTCAGGCCATCACATCAGAGTTTAACTCTATAGTAATGATAACGGGTGTCTACAAGACCCCGGGGGGCTACGTTATCTTCTTTACATTCTGCTTGTTTTTCCTGTTTTATTTCCGCAGAATAAAAGAATAAAGGCATGACGCCCCGAGTTATCGGATCATCATGAGGGGGAGAGTGGTCCACATGCTGTTAACTGTCAAAAAAAAATCATTCTGGGACACTTCACTCCTCCAACACTCTCTCTACTATCTCTGCAACTCAAATGGTCAGCTACGTTCAGAAGTCAACCATCATTATGTTCCGCTGTGCCACCGACAAGTTCTCCTCAAATGCATTCATTCCAAACAGTCAAAAAGACTACATTGTGGAGGAGACAAAGGTCAGATACTCAATCTGTTGAAGATGAATTCCATTGGCGTCTCCTATTCTCCAAAGAACATTAATTCTAGAGGCGTCACCGGACATCATCTAAGCTGATCAAGAGCAACTTCTAGAATGCAAGGATTACGAAAAAAGATTCCTCAAACCCCGGCATCAAAGATCAAACTGCCAAGAAAACATCAAAGGGGAGATTGCGAAGATTTCTTCATGAAACCTTCTCAAGAAGTCAAGTTCAAAGACAAAGGAAGCTGAATAACAACAAAGACAAAGATATCTGCGCTGCAATGCTGATTCAACACGATTGAACACCAAGGGGGGGTTGTTAGGGATATTTTATGGTGTCCAATCTAATTAAATATTCTTGTATTTGTGTAGTTATTAATTAAACGTGTAATACGGGCCACAAATGTGTATTAGCCCGTTAGCTTCCTTGTAACCCGTAAGTTAGCCAACTTCTCCTATATAAGGAGGCTAACTTACGGGAACCCTAACGTTAGAGGCTTTAGAGACGCAGAGGCGAGATAGAGAGAGTAGGGTTTTCGCTGCTCTCCTTCTCCAGGAAGGGCAGTGGGGTTTCATAAGGTATACCAGATTCGGTTTTAATCTTCTCGATATCTTTCTATCTGCTTCTTTATAACTGCTAATGATTGTTGTTTTTTAAGTATACTGTGATTATCACTTAACAATCATTTTCCATGTCACTTAATTGTCTAACTTGATCAACATCTTGCACAGGAAGTTTATTTTTACACCTAACTAGGTTAAGTCTCTCTATTGCACTTAGGGGTAGGCATGGTTCCTGGTTTTTACGATTATTTAACCAAAATGAGAACCAAATCGGTGGTTATGGGTCGGGAACAGCAACCGAGTGGATGGTAGGCTTGTAGTGGTCTGATACCGTATCTTGGGGATTGAACCAGACGGTTTTGGTTCCAAACAGATACAAGTTTAATTTTGTTTATATTATTGGATATCAATTACATCTGCATGGGTTCCTGGTTTTTACGATTATTTAACCAAAATGAGAACCAAATCGGTGGTTATGGGTCGGGAACAGCAACCGAGTGGATGGTAGGCGTGTAGTGGTCCGATACCGTATCTTGGGGATAGAACCGGACGGTTTTGGTTCCAAACAGCTACAAGTTTAATTTTGTTTATATTATCGGATATCGATTACATCTGCATTATTACATGGTGTATAGTGTTAGGCGGTTAAGCAATGTTACATTCAGAATATGAGTATGACGGAGAACCGCATGTTGCGTTGAATGTGTGCACATACTAAAAAGACCATTTGAAAAATGAGATAATGAGGCAAAATGTTCAAGAAACACCCATTAAAGATAAGATGCGAGTGTCAATTGCGATTGTTTGAGCGTGTGTGTACAAGACTCAAGTAATGAATCTGTTAGACGAATTGAGAGACGTGGAACAAAGGAGATGAGAGGAAGAGAACGACCCAAATAGATATGGATTAAAATGATCGGGAATGATATTATATTTCTTGAGTTAGATAAGAATATGATTTGGAGAGAAGGAATTGGAGGAAGATTGTATGAGGGGATTGATTTCTTTATGTGCCAAATTCTTTTGAAAGTTGGGACTAAGAGTTAATGTTGTTTTTGTTGTGGGTAGCTAGGGATGGACTCGGGTCCGGGCCGGGTCCGGGTCAAGTCTAGGCCCGGGCGGGACGGCGGTTAAGAAATGGTGGACCCGGGACCGGACCGGGTAACCACCGGGTCCGGCCCGGGTCCGGCCCGGTCCGGGCCCATTATCATTTTTTTTTGTTTTCCTCTTCCTAATTAACCCCCCTCCCACCCCCAACCCCCCAAACCATCCCAAATGGCCCAAAATACCCAGCCCAACCCGAAAATTTAAAGAAAATTGAAAACAAAAATAGTTTTTGGCCCGAACCGGGCCCGAGCTCGGCCGGGTCGGGCCTTGTTTTGGATGACCCGAGCCCGGACTGGAAAACCCACGGGCCGGGCCTACCTGGACCGGTCACTGACCGGGCCACCGGGTCGAGCCGGGCCGGAACAGTACCGGTCCCGGGCCGATTCCGGGCCACCCGCCCGAGTCCATCCCTATGGGTAGCCATTGCAAACAAAAATGATGGACAAGGGGAGCCTCTCCAATGTGACAGTTGGACCGTAGGAAGGGGGTGGGGGTATATGATAATATGAGACTGTGAGTAGATTTTTCATGAATAATGTGCATGTCATATTTTGAATATACTGTGGTATGTGTCCAAAGGATATATTGCTATATTGGATCAAATAATGGAAAATGTTATTAGTAATTAGTCACATTAAGAGCATCTCCAATGCTCTACTTTTAACAGGGAGAAAATTTTGCCAAATGTCAATAGAAGAAAGGCATAAAAGACTCCCAATGCATAATGTTAAAAATTTGAAATTATCGGCTACTAGTAATCTTTGGAAGCAGTTTCTCTCCACTACGTATGAAATAAATTAGCAAAACAGAAAAGTTGGTTCAATTTAGATGAGTCGGCATGTTCAACATGCTTTCTGAAATTCTAAATTGAGTATAAAAGCGATGGTTCCATGTCAGCTTGACCAGGCAGATGAAAGAATGCATTGGAGACAAAAAAATCTTCACACTTTGTAAACTTGAATATCTGGCAAATGTTCACTCCTTTGAAAGAGAGTGTTGGAGATGCTCTAAGCTAACCGTTGAAAGACTTGCACGCCTTAGAAGTGAACTAAACAAAATTTTTACATTGGAGAAGTTTGAAGTTGGGGTTAGTGTGTGAACATATAAGATGTTTTTACTTGAACTGTAATTTGATGATCTAATCTGAACTGGTCTAGTATGATTTCTTTGTATTTTTATAACTATCCAAGTCTAGTCTGATCTGGGAGGAATTACGGTCCAAGTAAAAACATCCATAGTGGAACAAAAAGAGACTCTGGCTTTCACGCCTTATTCACTTCGCAAAACATAAGCTCAGACAACTTGGGCTTTCACATTTGATCATTTGTCGCTTTGGCACCCAGCAAAACATATTTTATACTCCAGTACATAACTCCAGTCTTATTGAAAAACTCAAGAGAAGCAGTATTTCAGAGGAATTCTAGAGCTAACATATATTGAAAACAACAGTTTACATTAAACTACTTGCGCTTGTTTAGTTGGGTGTTAAATATAACAAGCTCTCCAAAACAACCAAGGCATCATCAACCTTGCCTCTTCACCGCTTTTCCTCCTAAATGATGCTGAAATCAAGCAAAAAAATTCAGGAATATTGTATGTTATCTTCTTTTTTCCATTCAAATAACATAGAGATTCTAATGAGTGTTCTTCTAAGCTACCCTAAGACACTTTTTTACTTCTAATACTCGTCTAACAATTAAGACTTTCATTACATAAAGTTTTTAAGGATTTCATTTTTCTAATGATCCAACGATTGAAACTAACATTTAATGCAAATGACTAAAAAACTTGGACCATCAAATTCAAATTTTAGCTCAAAATTAAATTGGAATGACGAGATTCCCATTAATGTGGACTAAAATGAGAAAGAATCCAGAGCGTTAAATTTGGGAATTGTACATTATGTTAAGCAGGAATGTGCACTACCAAAAATCAGAAAATGCGATGGCATTGTGTCAATAAATTCAACAATTTTTCCATTTGACATGTGCATTATTTTATCCATAGGTGTGCACCTCCATTAACCATAATGTCCATCCGATTCAAATGAGAACACTTCTTCCCATGATAAATGAAAACGAACAGAAATGATGCACATTATAGTTCATGTGTTGCACATTTATGATTAAAATAATGCACATTTCAAATGGACAAAAAATTGAATTGATTTACAAAATTACCAATGCATTTTCACCCGAAATGATGCACATTATGTTTCCTAGTGTTGCACATTTATCATTAAGACAATGCATAGGTCAAATTGGCAGAAACAAGTAGAATTTATTTACAGAAATACCACTACATTTTCTGATTCTGTTTTACATAATACACAATTCTAAAATCCGATGGTCCAAATTCATTTTCATTTCCCTCATTTTATATATATATATAGAGGGTGGTTTAAATACAAAGTACTTCTCATATGGGAAGTAATCTTAGACATAAAATGAGAACATATGTGGATCAAATTAATTTTAAAAAGAAAAATGTGATGGCAAAATATTAGGAACTTTAAAAAAAATAAAGTGATAAATGTGCATGGCTATGGAGAAAAAGTGTATTTGACTAACACACAAGTGCATCACATTTCGAAATAAAAGTATAGAAATCGTGTTTATGTGCCCTCTACATACTATCATCCATATCGTATTACTTGCAACGTTGCAATTTACACACTATTCATGTACTCTACTTTGACTACATTCTATTTATTAATGTGTGATTTTTTTTTTAAAATGTTGAATTCGTCTCATTACTAAGTTTCATAATCTCATTTTCAATTTTATGTTACTAATACAAAATTATATATATGACGGTCAAAGTTGTGCATTAGCAAACGTGAAAAGAGGAATGTTGCAACTAAAAAAGAACGGAGGAAGTATTATATATGCACTTTTACTATTAAATATCATCTCATTATTGTTTATTTCAATAATGTTGTTTTGGGGTAAGGATTATGTCCCCTATGTATTGTCATTGTTTTTTCAACGAAACTTGGTGAATGACTCTCCACTCTCACTCCGCTGATACTCCACTGATTTTGGTAGTTTGCATTCTAAGAATCCACAATAACAACAGTTGCCACTTCTAGTTCATAATGGACTGTACATTGACACATGACAAATGGATAACTCATATCCACTTTCAAAACAATGGAGTCAAGAACTTATTATCTTAGGATATATCAAAATGTCTGAACTTTTCATCTAAGGGAAAAATAAAATGAGAGCATGCGCCCACTGAGAACATGTGAAATAATTACAACCAGGTTCACCTTTTGTAACAAACCCTTACATCTACAAAGAGAAGATTCAAATTGAAGTTCAAGTTCAATATACTTCGTATTATTTAATACAAGTACAAAGAGCATACCTCATACTTTCCTTGGGTATAAACCAATCATGGTTCACAGTTGAAAATCTCAGAAACGTCTGGGACGGGATTCAGCAACACTTACACGGATTGATCTTCCGTTTAGGTCCTTTGAAAAGTCCACAAGCAGAAATAAAAAATCACTGTGATTCTAACTAGGGAACTATAAAGACTAGTTTAAAAATGAAGGAAAGAAAAAAATTGGAATTGAATTTTCCAGATTTTAGAAGTTTGAAATATAGATCTGAAACATTCAAAATTCCAATCAAAATTCCCACAAGAATCACATAGTAGCGTGGTACCACCCACTTTTCAAATCAAAATTCCCTGGAATTCACAGTTCAAGAATCAGAGGGAACACATCTCAACTTGAACAAGTGGTTTGTTTGGTTGTGAGAAATGAATTGAATTCAAATTTATTACACATTTGTTTTATCTAATTACTAGTCAGCAGTTGAATCTCATCAATTCAATTCTAACCACAAAACCAAACAAAACAAGGTCATAAATTAATTATCAAGAATCACAATAAGCTTACAGCGCCATCCAAGGATTTAATGGCATCATTGACCTCCTCAGCAGAACTGTAAGTAACAAATCCAAACCCCTTTGATTTGCCACTGTCTCTGTCATAAATGACTTTGGCTTCCATCACCTTTCCTTGCTCCCTGAACAAGGTTTCAAGTGCTTGATCATCAACACCCCACGCAAGATTCCCCACATGGAGCTTATTAGAGTTAGTACTGTAACCTCCCCCACCCATGGATCCTCTGAACGAGCCTTCCCTCTTTGGTGGTGGAGGCCCACAGTTCACCCTCAATTGCCTCCCATCAAGTTCCTGTCAAGAATAATTATTTCATCGTGAAAAGAAATATATCATAGTTTTTGCAATAAAATGTACCCCTGCTTCCACATTAATGTTCCGTATTACAGGTTGTTAAGAAACTCATTAAATAGAAACTCAATATAGTTCACACTTGGTGAATCCTGAAAATTTTTAATTGAGCTTGAAGGTATAGGTTTGCCCAAGAAGTGGATAAGAATGCCACTATGGAGTACATATTAATGTCATCAGAGTTAAGAGACCAGAAATGCATTCAAGCAACTATGACAATGACCAGCACATCTGTGATAAGATAATCAAAACTTTGTTTTCAAAATATTGCCAATAAAATGTTTTTTAAGAGAACCAAGAAGGAGAAACTGGAGCTTACTTTCAACCATTGCTAATAAGGTGGCGTCACTATTTAGATGCAACCAAAGTTGTGTAAGAAAAAAAATCAAATTAAAGTTGAAAAGGCTCGTATATACTCATATACATTGACATGTTGAAAGACCAAAGCTCGTTTCAACAAATGCTAGTGACAAGCCTCATAAGATGCAATCACTAATTGGACGCAACTTAAATTATTGTGAAGACAACTCAAATTATAACTTTACAAGTGAAGAAATTTACATATCCATCCAACTGTTGAACAGCTGCTTCTACTTCCTCAACAGTAGACATTGTCACAAACCCAAATCCTCTACTTCTTCCAGTTTGCTTGTCATATATAACCTGAACAGATATGAAATTTTTTAGCTCATCGTTCTGTTACTTAGAAAACTGTCAAAAATATCAGAGGATAATAACTACTACCTCAGTCCAACTAAGGTGGCAGGAATATTAAGAAAAATGGATTTGTGTGATTGGTATTAAATTGATAAAGTAAGAATGATTTAGAGGTACGGGACATCTTAGCGGGAAGGAGGGAGTACTAAGTACTACTACACAACCTCCATTCTTTTTGCAACGTTTCAACTTTCACATTGTACAGCTTTTGAAAATATCAGCGGATGTAGTATATCTCAAAGATTAAAATTCCATGAACGCGTATAAAACGACTTTACACAGCAAAAAGAGTTGTTGCAGTAAAAAGGTAAGAACTAATAAAAAACCAGATAATATGTATACCTCGGCCATCTCAACACTTCCTACTTGACCAAACAGACTAGCAAGAGTAGCACTTTCAACACTGAAGGGCAAATTCCCTACAAAGAGTTTCTGTTCAGGAGGGAAACTTGGCTCGTCGGAGTAAGAGTACGATGAGCCGTCTATACCGAGTAGTCCCTCATCTTCTTCTTCGTCTTCTTCTTCAGCCACCTCAATCTCGTCCGAGAAGGCGACATTGCGAACAACGCAAGAGTAAGGCAGTGAGTTGAATGGTGTAAGGCAACAGGAGAAGGATAGAGAGCGATTGAGCGAGGATGGATAGGGCGGAGAAAGGCATAATGAAACGGGGGCGCGATTAGGTTTGGAAAGAGGGAGAGATTGAGTGTTGAGTGCGAGGAAATGTAGGGTGGATGTTGAAGATGCCATGGCAGATGTCACAGAGGATAAGGTTTAGAGAAAGAAAGAAAGAAAGAATGAACTCCAGAAAGTCCAGTTGAGAAGGCGGATAACGCGACGCCGCTGCAGATATTTATGGACAGGACAGCGAATATATTTCCAAGCCCAACTTTCTCATTATATTTCAGCCCAGGCCCAAAACAAATATTCCAGTTTTAAAGGCTCAAAATTGTCCGTCTCTTTTGAAGCTATTAAAATTAAAATAAAATTAAAATACGTAGTAAAACAAAGGATAAATAAATTCATTCATCTTCATACCCAGTATTTTTTCACTGAGCATCATCTTTTGTTGCTTGATCGATCCATATCACCTCGGCGAGAATGGCTTCTCAAATCGCGAAAAGAGTCATCGGCAGCTTCTCAAGATGTAGTTCATCGGCTGCGTCAGTTAGGGTTTTCAATCGGAGCCTTGCCGCATCGCCTTCCGAGCCAGCCTCTAATCTAATTCGCGCCACTCTCTTCCCCGGCGACGGCATCGGTCCCGAGATTGCCGATTCCGTCAAGCAGGTCTGTTTCTTCGCACCTTACGTGCGTCTTCAGTTTGATGCTCAATCTTGCATGGAGTTCATGCGCACCTCCGGCTTTTGTACTTAGATTGTTGTGCCGCATACTTTGAGCGTATGTTGCTATAATGATCCATACTCTTGTAGAAAAGGATTCTTAATTTAGGAGACTGGTATAGTGGAAATTCGATAACTTTAAATCGTGTAAATTGTGCTTCTGAAAGAGCCAAGAGGACGCCTCCATCAAGTACTTTGAAAATTGTGTGATGCTTGAATATTTGACGCAATCTTCAATTTCTAGATCTTTATTCCGTTTGCTTGTCAAATTTTACTATTTTGATGTACACCATTGTAGCTAAATGCAGGTGTTCAGAACTGCTGATGTGCCTATAGAATGGGAAGAACACTACGTGGGGACAGAGGTTGACCCTAAGACCCAAAGTTTTCTTACATGGGAGAGTATCGAATCTTTGAGAAGAAATAAGATTGGCTTAAAAGGTCCAATGGCCACTCCTATCGGAAAAGGTCATCGTTCTTTGAACCTTACATTGAGGAAAGAGCTCAACCTGTATGCCAATGTTAGACCTTGCTACAGTCTACCTGGATACAAGACTCGTTATGACGATGTAAACCTTATCACAATTCGTGAAAATACTGAAGGAGAGTACAGTGGTCTTGAACATCAAGTGAGTTAGTCTGCAGCATATCTTGCATTTATAATATACTTTTAAAACCCACATATATCATTGTCAAGCCCATTTTTCGTTCAAACTAGGGGATGCCGGAGGTAGGGAAGAGAGTAGAAATGAGAAAGGGTGGGGAATAGGTTGTGTCTTAAAAATATCATATGTGGTTTATTGAAACAGTGACGCGGATAAGCGGATTTAGTATTCTGGGAAAGTTTGTCAATATATTGTATTCTATATACACGTATTATTTCTTTGTATCTAAAATTCTATAAATTTACATGTATAAAAAGAATAATGTAGAACAATTTAGGAAAAGAATAACTCCCTAAACCCTTCCAAATGGGCGGAATGAGATACCGAGATATATGGAGACTGCAGGATTTTTATGGATCCTTCATTTTCATCTCCCTCCTCCATAACCCTAGAACTGAAGACACTCAAATCCTGCACTTTTATAACTTCCTCTCCAGAATCCTCCAACTACAAAATTAAGAATTTTGTTTAATGTTTTAACTCTTGTATAGGTGGTAAGGGGTGTGGTTGAAAGCCTCAAGATTATTACACGTCAAGCAAGTTTGAGGGTTGCAGAGTATGCGTTCCACTATGCCCAGACGCATGGAAGAGATAGAGTTTCTGCTATACACAAAGCCAACATCATGCAAAAAACTGATGGGCTTTTCCTCAAGGTTTTTCTACATTGTTCTGTTCTCTCCATTTCCATCATTTGCAATGGAGCCAAAGATTCATTATTTTTTGGCTTGAGATTACGATGGAATAAAGCAAAATGGCTCACTAAAATGTCTGTGCTTCTTTGTTATGGAGCAGCAGTCAGTCCATGCAATTTTGGACGCGATTTTCACTATGGGTCATCCGGAAACAGTCTCTCTGTGCGTTAGTACAGGGGTAAGACTGTGTACATCCGACCCCCCTTAACCCACTGTAGGTGGGAGCCTTTGCGGCACTGGGGTAAATGAAAATGAAAATGTGCTGTTCTCTCCCTTTTTAAAGGTCCCTTTGGAATATGGAAAATACCAGAGAAAGAAAACAGGAAGGAAAATGAAGTAGGAGTTTGATTGAGACCAGATTTGTTGGGAAATAAAATTATATGCTCAAATTCAATATTTATTGAACTATTTGCTCAAACTCATTTTTATTCTTTTTTTCTATTTTTTATAAAGATTAAGAACCCTCATGTAATAAGAACATCTACTATGAGTCTTTGAACTTTTAATCCTTATAGTTTCCAGCTTCTAGTAAATCGCTATCAAGGTCTAAGGTTCACTTTTGTAATTATTTTGAAATTAAAAAGAGGAATAATTACAAAAATGACACCATCTTAGCATTTAACTTTTATTACAAAAATGAATGGTGCGGATTAAAAGTCCCCATTTATAAGACGAGTCCCGCCGTCTCATATACGTGTGTGTATGTGTATATGTGTGTGCATGTGTATATGAATTAATCATATTCCATTAATCCATTTTGCTTTGTGTGTGTGAGTAATCAACTTTGTTATCCCCCCCCCCTCCCTAATATGTTACAGAGTTAAAACATGTTCTAAAGGATGCCTTATGCATCTGTGTATGAATCGTGAATCTAACTTTCACCATATCAATTTTAGTGTTGCCGTGAGGTTGCAGAGAAGTACCCCGATATCAAATATGATGAAGTTGTCATTGACAATTGCTGCATGCTGGTATATACCCTTACCTTTTTAATGAAGTAAGTCCCATATTTGTGGGATGAAAAGTAAAATGGGATACAATAATATCTATCTTTCTGACCATACAGCTTGTGAAAAATCCGACACTTTTTGATGTATTGGTGATGCCCAATCTTTATGGTGACATTATAAGCGATCTTTGTGCTGGTTTGATTGGTGGCCTGGGGCTAACACCGAGGTATTTGAATTTCTCTTCATAAATTTCTCTAATGTGAAGTTGATGTGATTACAACTAAGACATAATAATTTTTTAACTTAGCTGCAATATTGGTGAGGGTGGCATTGCTCTTGCTGAGGCTGTGCATGGTTCGGCACCTGATATTGCTGGAAAGGTTTGATTCAATACTTAACTGGATTTGGGTTCAGATTTAGATTATATGGTGGGTAGCCTGATGCGTTTAATGTTCTAGTTCTATTTCTTAAATCATCAATCTGTAACTGATTTTTTAAGCATGGTTTGCGAGTTTTTAAATTAAGACAGTATTTTTATCCTTTTAGTATACCTTGTTTAGGTACTGTTTGATTACAGGAAATAAGAGTTGGTTTTACTTATGTATGGTGAATACGCAAGACATACAAAAATGTGATAGGGAGGGTAATTTCTATGTTTTTCTTCTTCCTGCTTTTTAATAGCCACATATATTTGATATGGGTTGCATCTTTTCAGAACTTGGCAAACCCAACTGCTCTGCTTTTGAGTTCTGTTATGATGTTGCGACACTTGAACCTTCATGACAAAGCGGACCGCATTCAGAATGCTATTCTGACCACAATTACAGAAGGGAAGTATAGGACTGGTGACCTTGGCGGGAAATCTTCTACAACTGAATTCACGAATGCAATCTGTGATCATCTTTGAACATGCTTGCCCTCGCATCCATTCATTGTTCCATTCTTGTTCCACCCTCTGCACTTTCAAATAGGAAATTTGAAAACTTTATAAACTTTTATTTTGGGAAAGCGATTTCCAAGTTTATTTACAGTATGGACTATAGAGAAATAAAAAAGTTTTCCCCCGCACAGTTTGTTGGTGTTCTGCAGAAACCCTGCATGAAAGGATGGTTTACTAACTGGCTGAATTCCAGCGGGAAGCCAATTTCATGGTGATTGTTTATTTATTTGATTGATCTGGTACTCGTCATTTTTTCCGGAATCTGAGCAGCACATGCTTTATTTTTATATATTAAAATTCACTTAATTTCTTGTGGTAGATTCAGTAATACTTCCTCCGTTCTTTATTAAATGTCTCGTATTCCTTTTTGGGACGTTTTTAATTATTTCTCTTTTTCCCTTTTTGGTAAGTTTTTTCAATCAAAATACCTTTATACCCTCACTTTTATTACCATTATCCCTTTCTCTTTCCTACTTTTTCATTTACCCACAACTCATTACACCTTTTACGCTACTCTTATTATTTTCCTCTTAAAACCCGTGACAAAGTCTAAGAGGACAAATAATAAAGAACAGAGGGAGTATTTAAATATTTTTTTGTTGACTTTACCAAGTTTTACTTTTTTTTTTTTTACTCCAGGGGCGTCTGAGGGAGGGAGGCTGGGGGTCTGGAGTAATTAGGGCTGAAACTCATTCCATTGAGTTTCAAGCCCTTGTGTGCCTAGCGGTGTTCGAACTAAAGACCTCTCACTGGGCACGGTAATCAAATTTTACATTTTAATATTTACATTTTGTCATGTTAACAATTTCTACAAATTTTGAAATTACTTTTTATGTGTAATTGTATTTTAATCCATTATTTTTCTGGATGTGTACATATTGTCAGATTTATTAATGTGGAAATTTGAATAGCAAGTAATTAAATAAAATGAAAATTCAAAATTATGAGTCCTTATGTTACTGTTGGGTTAATGGCCCAACAGGGGTCGGTCCATCAATTCTTCAAGGCTCATCGGACTCTCGCCCCTTGAACCCCAAGCCAGTTGGGATTGTAACCCTGGAGACAGCCCAAGGCAGAGAGGAAGTTCATCCTTGTGGGGATGTTCAGTCCCATGATGCCAGGTCAGGTGAAACAGATAACCATATCCCAAGCAGATAACTATATCCCAAGCACAATTGTCGGGGGACGTATGTCGTTGGTCAACGGAATGGCACATCAGCCCTAAGGGGCACCACTGGGCACCAGGTTTCTAGTCCCCAGGGACGTTAGTCGTCACTCAATGGCAGGAAACCTACCTTTTGGCGGGAAGCGCATTTTATGTTGAAGATTTGGTGGTTGGGGCCCTAGCCATCCACAACACGCCACATCAACATGTCTAAACTACCCATTGGCGGTATAAGTAGCAGGGCTGTTAACGAGCCGAACCGAGCCGAACACCCAAAGCTCGAGTTCGGCTCGATAAGGAATTAGTGGTGTTCGGGTTCGAGCTCGAAGCTCGACGAGCTTTACAAATTAGGCTTGTGTTCGGCTCGATAGGCTTTCGATGTTCGAAACGAGCGCTCGATAAGCTCGATAAATATGCTCGAATTAAAATTTCGGTTCGTTAATAATCATATTTAAATTCAAAAAATCATACTAATTATGTTTAAATTTTGAAATATATATAAATTATATTTATAATTTTAGGTGTTCGATAGGCTCGAGTTCGAACCGAGTCGAATATTACTATGTTCGAGCTCGGCTCGATTAAGTTTTCGAACTTAAAACTCAGCTCGGGTTCGAGTTCGAGAGTTCATTAAGCTCGGCTTGTTAGGTTCGAAATCGAGCTCGAACTCGAATAGTTCAATAAAAGCTCGGTTCGTTAACAGCCCTAATAAGTAGTAGCATTTATTTCATTGTAAAGTGTTGGCAACTTAGCATTCTAGCATTCATACCGGCTCGTAGCTTAGCGATTATACGAACGGTCTCACGCCTTGTAACGACAGTTTTATTGAGATTTCTTATTGGGCCTCTTCTTGCTTGTTTCACAATCTAATTACTAAAATATCCACTCTGTTGAAGGAAATTCTAAGTTGTGTGCTATCGTTTAGATAGAATATGTATTAGGGTCTTTCTATGTAAATGATGTATTATGGACATATTGGCCCGCACTTGTAAACTCTACTCTATCCCTATTTATAGGGGCTTTCGGTAATGAAACTCTACAAACCATTCTCCCTACAACACGTTATCAGCACGAGTTGCTCTAATCCTATCCTTCCCTTCTTCCTTCTGGCCGCATCTTGTTTTCTGGCAGCTGCGGCACTGTGCTCGAAATGAGCCTATCGTTTAAAGTGTTTATCAATTATCATAAATGGTTTAAGTAATCAGATTATACACACTAGTTGCAAACATATTTATAAGGCTTGAATTTAAATTAAAAGACACAATGCTAAAAGAAGAAGCATTGCAATCACAAGCAGTGGGGTTGTGGTTGAGGCCGTGGCTCTCTAAAGGAATAGAGGGAAGCCACATGGTTCGATTAATTATCCACCCAAGTAGTAGAGGGTAGATAAGGCACAAACCAATATACTCGTCATCATACGAATTCCTCTCATGAGATTATCTCTGACTAAACATGTCCATGAATCAATAATGGGGGACGCCCCGAAGTTTTAATGATTTCAGAGAATTAAAACTCAATGTTAATGAGAGTGGGTATGAGTCGAATGATAGACCTTACATTTATACTGACGATATATTTATACAGTTGCTCAAAGGAGCATAGAGCACGATGACATCGAACCATACTCTATTGTAATATGAAAGCAATGAGAATATTGGCCTAAATGCGTACAAGTAATCTAGGTATAAATTTAATATTTCACAAAGAGACAGGTATTTGGTATGATAGTGCTAATCAACCAAGTGTAAAGCCTGTAGGACATGAAATAATTCTTTGTTAGAGCGTACTGAGATAATGAGGTCCTAATTATTCTCACAACGCCCTGGATTCAAATATGAAAAGTTATATTTCTCTATTTTGAACACAAAAATGTTCAACTACTTAATCTATAAGTAGACTCCAAAGTAATGGAGACGCAGCTAAAGATTGTGGATATTAAATGTCTCAATAGAATTTCATTAAAGAGATGTATATGAAGTATTTGTTATGTTTTTATCTTTAATCAAGTGGATTTTAAATTACATTGTGTATCTACATTGAAACGTTCACATTTGGATTGAATCAATCCAGACGAGAGTGACATACCCGTCTAAGTGACCACTTAACTGAAAAGGGATAGAAAAAGATAGATTATGTTTTCCCTCCAAGTATCATTATATGTCGAAGATATAGACATGGTATATACTCATATTAAAAATGAGAAATCTTAGATACTTGAAAGTCATAATTGAGATTTAGAATCTTGGGAAACCCAGGTTGTTTTGAAAACACCGAGTTGGTTGAATAATAATTCACCAGTTGCATATATCCAAAAGGGTTCTCAGGAAAATTAACATGGATAAATGTAAACTGTTAGCACTCCCATGATTGGTCGAAATATGGATACTAGCAAATATATCCATTATTGGAAACTTTGGGAGTAGAAACTCCCTATGAAAGTGCAATATGCGCATGATTGTACTTTGTCAAACACATTCGACCAAATAATACATTCTCAAGAACGTGTGAGCTGAAAATAGCTCAGGATCAATACATCGTATATCATCATTGAAATAGTATCAAGAATGTACTTTGATATCTATATGAAACCATCCATTGGTGTAATCTTTATTCATCCCTTATAAATTAATTAAATGATTGATGATAATAATATTTCTAAAGGACTCAGAAATGTCAAAAGTATCACTCTAACACATTAACACAAAGTAACGTGATTTGAGTTTTACCGATGACGGATATCCCCTTACCTCATTGATACTTTCTTAAATGAGTATATATTTACCATGAAAGAAACCGAGATTTTATATACGGAATACCTTGATAAAAGTATATATCAAGTACACATCGAATTCTTATTGATGTGTTGCATTCAGGGGGAGTCCTTACATACTTATTTATCATCAGTTATATTGGTGCGTTGTACTCTTTTTTCTTTTTTCTTTTTTGACCAAGGTTTATTTTTTCCCATTGGGTTTTGTTACTTGGTAAGGTTTTTTTTAATGAGACAACATAATATGCACCATCCCACATTTTAATTTTGCGAAAGTAAAACAATGTTGAAGAAAGAACATAATTACTATATATCAGTCAAAAGTCATTGGCGTGTAGGTATTCGTGCACCATACTTCCTTTCACTTTGATCGATGTTTATTTTTCCCATTGGGTTTTGTTCATTGGCACCACCTTCGCAAGTTAACAATTTGAGAAAATTTCCTACGCTCGACACACAAGGGGAGAATTAAAGGAATTATATTCCTCTATTGTGTGCCTTCGCTAAGGTAATTAATGTGACAAGTATTGAAATGCACATATTTTAAAAACACCCTTGATTAATGTAAATATTAAGGGTAGATGTAGACTTGAGGGGGAGTACCTCAACTAGATTACGTTACACTCTTTTCCTTTACCCATGTTTTATTTTTTCCCACTGGGTTTTGTTACTTGATAAGGTTTTTAATGAGGTAACGATACATATAAACTTTAATGATCAAAGCAAAGATCAAATAAAGACGGACTTAATGGAAGAAGCTTATCTTGATGCTACTCCTTTTTCTCCAGTCAAGGTTATTTTTTCTCACAGGGTTTTTGTTACTTGACAGAGTTTTGAAGAGGCAACAAGGCATATACAACATTCTATCTACAACTCAGCACAAGGGGAAGTGTTGAAGGAAATTCTAAGTTGTGTGCTATCGTTTAGATAGAATGTGTATTAGGGCATTTCTATGTAAATGATGCATTATGGGCATATTGGCCCGTACTTGTAAACCCTACTCTATCCCTATTTATAGGGGCTTTTGGTAATGAAACTCTGCAAACCATTCTCCCTACAACACACTCGAAATTTTTAGGTTGCGTGTTGGGCCTACAAATTGAAGTAATAAACCTCAATAGCTACTATTGAAATCGATTGAATGAGTTGAAATGCTGAAATTAATGAAATTCTATCTGATTCTATCTGATTGAGTTTGTTGATTTATGAAGAAGAAGAAATTTTATTAATAAAATTAAAAAAAGAGTTATATGAAAACCATTTAAATGACTCTTTATAGTAATTCAAATCTATTTAATCACAAAAACACTAATAAAATGCACTAGCAATATGAGTGGATAAACACACATAAAATGTTGTGTACTACTTAAAGCATCTCCATTAATACTCCTCAAATTTACGGTTGCTTATGATTTATTATTGTCACGTCACTGCCACATAAAAAAATCTTTAAAATGATCAACGTGTCCTCAACCATGATCTTCATTTATCCAGATTTTAATGGTACATACACTTAACTCAATATCCTCACTTAAATGTATTCACATACTCGTAAACTAGTACGTACACTCACACACACTCTTATATACGTAGTAATATACATGTATATATATGTACCGGACTCAATACCCGTGCGTTCACGGGTTGTATTCGGATTACGCGTAAATAAGTATAATATACAATCTAATTAATTTAATTATTTTTAACGATTACCAACCTCGAAGAAATCTCCATTGTCAAATACTCCCTCCGTCCCGCTAGAAGGTTCCCGTGAACGATTTACGATGCTTGACCGACGATAAAGCAACTTAATCCCTATTCACACTCTGATTGTTTTCAGTAAATAAAATTAACATATTCAGAAACTACATTAAAATCGCTGCAAATTAAAGCCTGATAAAAAACAATGTAAATTTGGTAAAAATTTGATTTATAAAGTAAAAGATTAAAAATGATTTAAGTTGACCATGAGAATAGTGGACGGGAACCTTCTAATGTGACGGAGGGAGTAGTTCATAAATTTTATATTAGGCTTTAATGATATATGTGTTGAAGGAAATTACTTTAATGTGCATTCGTTATAGATAGAAATTGTATCTAGGGATTATATGTATTGAGCTAATTGGCTCATTGGCTCATTCCTTGTAAAACCCTAATCCCTCCTATTTAAAGGGGGTTTACTAATGGAATGAACACACCTCTCTCACTTCCCTACAACACGTTATCAGCACGTAGCCCTAAACCTATTTTTTTTCTCCCGTTCTCCCTACACTCAATCCGCAGCCGCGCCTCCAGCAGTCCAGCCGCGCCGCCAGTAATCCAGCCACGCTTGGCCACCTCCCAACACACCGATCGTCACCCCCCCCCCCCCCCCTCCTCCTAGCCTGCGACTCACCAATTCCCGGATCTCTGTTGAGGTATTTTTTTACTCAAAAATCATTGCAGGATCTTATGTATATGATTTATTGCATCATGTTTACCATTGTGATGAACATCATTGATGTTTTTTTAGAGATTAAGTTGTCAATTTTTTTGAGATCCATTTCTTGCACCCCAAGTGTTTGATGATATGCCTCATCCATTTTTTTTTGAGAGATAGATGCAATTTTTTATTATAATTCTGTAATGCTATATGTTATAATCATATAGTTGGAATTAATATCACATTATGCATCCCTCTTCGTTTTTATACATCTATGTGATCATACTTTTTCGTAAAACTATATGCCATATACATATAGTTGGAATCAAAGATCACACGATTAATCTTATTTTCATGTATTTTATATGATTATATGATTATACTTTCCGTAAAGTTATATGTTAGATACATATAGTTGGAATTAAAATCATAGTATGCACTTTTTTAATTATTTTATACATATTATGTGATTATATTTTTCCGTAATGCTATATGTCACTTACATATAGTTGGAACCATAATCAGGTAAGATTACTATATTTTATGCCTGAATCGTTCATTAGACCAATATTAATACTCTATATTAAAAACACCATATAACATCCTATAAAAATCTCAATGATTTTTTTAAGGAGGTGAATATATATCTCCTCACTTCGATGCATTGTAAAATATTGTCTACAAAGAGACATACTCTCATGATTATTTTTTGTGATAAAGAATTTTACACAAAGAATCGATTTTGTTTATACACAAGTTTCTGTTTTATATCATATGAACTACACAAGTTCATGAATGTACTCATGATCATGTAATTTTTTTTTAAGATGGTTGACCATCTCAACTTGTATTTGGCATTTTGGCCTCGGACGGATTTGAGTACCATTATTCAGTTTTCTATATTAATTATTTGTGTGATAAAGAATTTCCACACAAGGCTCTACAAATTTAATTGACCGATCAATTTGACCGGAGTTTGACATTATGCACTCAAATGAACTTGAGTATCTTCAACGCTTATTTTAGAATTCAATGCTACTCTGGCACACTTTGTGAAAAGCAAATCACAAAAGCTTATTTAATTTGATAGAAAAAAATTAACCATTTTTACACATACTTCGCTAGACATATACTAATGCACCAGTATATATTAAATAATTATGTAACTAACTAGCTTTTAGCTGGCACTAGTGAATGATGTTTATTGTTATTGTGTGTTTTTTTTAAATGCAATTACAATATTTTTTGGGGGATAAAGAAACCTCCCAAGAGTTATTTGGATAAAGAAATTTCCAAATAAAAAAATGAAAATATAAATTTTAAAGTAAATCCCTTAATATAAGAGGATTAAATGTGATTATCTCGTCAGGATATATATAACTTGAAAATATAATTTTAGTTTTTATCTTCGTAGAATCTCTAAAGAATAAGAGATTCACCGCATGAGAATATAAATTAAGTTTCATGATTGTCTACTATTTTGAGAATAAGAACACTCTCTAATTATTGGGTTTGTCCATTTTTTATTTTACTCTTTCATGAGTTTTAAAAATATGAACATTACTAATTCTAATTAGACTTTTATTCAAGTCTTACAGTTTGGTATAAATTATATTCGTTTGAGATTTTTAATTAATTTAACATCTCATTGTTCCATATGAAATTATATTTGAGATGTTTATGCATTCGAATTCATTACATGCATATCTTTGAATTTTATTCATAAAAGAATGGATACAAAGGAATATATCCACAAAATAGTAGAATGATATGTACCACAGTCAACTTGGGGTCATAGCACTCTAAGGTATATGGGTGACATTTGTAAATTATTGAAATCTGTGACAAATAGGTGATTTAACACATTGTGGTGATGTACAATAAATTAAGGAATATATTTATCGAAGTAATCCTTAAAATCAGTTATGATTGAAACAATTGTACCCATGTCCTCACATAGAATGGAGTCATGCCATGAGTTTGAATCTGGTGACCAGTCTCTTGTCAAAGTAACAAGAATGACCTTATATACCTTTGTGGGGCTTCCCCGAACCCTCACAATGTGAGGACGCCAATGTCCACCAAGGTACCCTCAATGTTTTTTTACATAGAAACTCGCTATAAAAATGAGAGAAAATATTAGATTGCATCTAATAAATGCAAAAGAAAATGCATATTTAAGCAGGTTATGAGTCAAAGTGGTCATTGACTCATACAAACTTTGAAATAACTCATTTAGGTTATTAATTATTCGAATAAAGGATGATATGAGATCCAACACAATGTAAATTGTTGGTTTTAGCATTGATATATAGAAAAACAATATCAATCTTCTAAAGTACGAGAAGAAATATTTACCTTTCATTATGCCTTACAGATATAGTAGAAGGCACGTCAGTTATTTCTTAAAGTTTACTCCTTAGCAAAAATAGAATCGAGACATGTCCACATATGCTAAGGAAATAACAATAAAGATATCTCATTTTTTCAATACAATGTGATATGTGACGACTCATCTACCAAAATGCGGGCCATTTAAGTGATTATGGTTTGGTAGATATTTACTCATGCTGTCTATTTTCCTGTTGCATAAAAATGTTGCATTTGCAAAACTTCTAGCAAAACTTGTTTATTTAAGGCCCACCACCCGACCAATCAAAACTATATGACTTGTTACTTCTAGTTAGTTCTCATCAAAAGTACTTGATGATTATTGCATATTTTTCGAGATCAATGAAAAACATCTCACATCCCATGTGAAAAAAAGAACTCAGTAAAAATCACATCTAAAAGCATGTTGATGGTGAATATTATATCTATTATGCGCGCACTAATAATTTTTTTTATGGGATTATGCAATATGCAAGCACTCTTACACATTTGTTTTTTTTAACCGATACTAGACAACCACGTTTATGTATACCAATTGGTGACTGGATATTAGCCTGGGATGTTCTACTTATGAATATGTGGTTGTTAAAAAGTTGTGCCTATTGCGTCTCCCACAACGCACTATAATCTGTTTTAAAAGAAAAATGATGTTTATGTTGGATATGAATCCGTAACAATAATCCGCTACTAGCCTTAACAAATAATGTATACACCGCTTTGCGGGATATGACTTTGATGAGACAATTGATTTTCTTGTCATTAGGGGGAGATTAGAGAAAGAACTCTCTAATTGAATGACAAAATCATTATGATGGTACATCACTACTTTGTCTCAATGATAAATCTTAGACTTCAAAATGTAACATTGAAGTTAAAGTGGTATCATAAATGATTTAAGTAATCATATTATACACACTAGCTGCAAACATATTTATAAGGCTTGAATTTAAATTAAAAGAAACAATGCTAAAGGAAGAAGCATTGCAATCACAAGCAGTGGGGTTGTGGTTGAGGCCGTGGCTCTCTAAAGGAATAGAGGGAAGCCACATGGTTCGATTAATTATCCACCCCAAGTAGTAGAGGGTAGATAAGGCACAAACCAATATACTTGTCATCATATGAATTCCTCTCATGAGATTATCTCTGATTGAACATGTCCATGAATTTATAATGGGGGACGCCCCGAAGTTTAAATGATTTTAGAGAATTAAAATCTCAATGTTAATGAGAGTGTGTATGAGTCGAATGATAGACCTTACACTTATACTGACGGTATATTTATATAGTTGCTCAAAGAAGCATAGAGCACGA